CATCATCATCATCATCATCATCATCATCATCATCATCATCATCATCATCATTACCAGTGTTTCCCCCTCTTTTTAAAGGCGTGCAGAGAAGCGAGAGCTTGTTGCTTGTGAACTTAAAGAAAAAATGGAGGAAAACACACTGTACCTGGCTGTGTCAGTCCAGAAGGTACAGGCTTACTCTGGCTGCTGCTGAGCACAAGTTGCTCCATCTCTTCTTGAAGCTCTGCTTGCTTGGTATCTCCTGTGTTCTGGAGTTGTTGCTGGTGATCTTCACCATGCCTACTTTCATTGCTTTTCAGAGGTGATACCATGAGCTGGGATAGGGACATGCTTGAAGCTTCACTGCTGCTAACATTTTTTTTAGTCCAATCCAGAGGGCCACCGATTCCTGACACTCCTCCAGTAACCACATCTGGCATTTGGCTGGGGACAGCAAAAGAAACGGGTTCTGATATAGTCAGTGGTGGAGATTTGACTGGTTTTCGTCCCATCATGGGGGAATAGGCACAGGCAACCTTCTCAGAGAAAGACTGGGGCTTTGATGGTTTCTCTTCAGCTGGGCTCAAATCTAGAGTGAAGAAGGGACTTGTGTTTTTTTCTTGATAAGGAGAAACTGGTTCTGAGCTTGTGGCACTCCCAGGTGTCTGAGACTGGCTGCCCGAGTCTAGCTCTTTCTTAAAGATGCTTTGCTTGTCCTTGTTATAGTCCACTGACTCCAACAGGGAAGTGCTGCTGTCAAGACACTCAGATTCTGCTTTGGGTGGGCTGCACTGAAAAGACATAGGGTCAAAGTCCAAGCTAGCCACCCCAATTTCAGGCGGGCTCAGGTCAACATCTTCTGCTGACCTTGGAGAAATGAGAGCAGGAACCTGTAGATGTCCCTCATCTCCATCACTTTCTTGGTCATGGGGTAAATTATCATAAGAATTGCAGCGGTTCATGTTCCCCAACAATTCCCCATTAAAAGAAGCTGATAAAGCATCACTGCTTGATCTTGGTCTTCGGGGTCGAAACAGTTTAGATTCACCTAGCAAAAAAGAGAAAAGGCATTAATTAGTACTTTGCCCCATCATGTAAAACAGTCTGTTGCTCTTTGCTTATATGTAAAAAATACACAGATATATTTTCTTCCAAGTCTTTGTAGTTAGAATACATGATGTGCTTAAAGTCTGGTCCCACAAGTTTATGCACCTCCCCACATCCACACTAATATCCTCACAGTTTTGTTTTTCTTGCTAGGACTGGGAAATAACAACGGACTTTTGCAAGGCTTCTGGGCAGATCGTTCCCCCCCGCCCCAAAATTGCACCAAAAAAAAAAAAGCGTTGATAAAAAGTGACTTATTAAGGAGCAAAAAGCACAAGTTTCTTCACCTAATACAGACATGAGCAAACCTCCTTACACTTTTGCAACCAAATTCTTTGTAGACATCTTATTTACTGAAGTATGCATTTGCTGTTCTATAGAAGAAACTCTCAGGATGATGTAAATAAAAGCCAACTTACCATCTATAGCATGTAAAGATGAAAGAGATTCTTCACTTTTGGCAGAGCGCAGGGTTCCACTATCTCCTCGTCCACCTGAACAGTCAAAAACAGAACAGTGGAATATATTTAAAATATGACCACACATCCTCAGAGAAGGAAATTTATTTGTCTAATAGAACATGTTAAATTCTTTATATAGCGGGATTTTCAAAAAGTCTTTAAAACCTTCAGATTACTACATGAATCAAATGAAGTGGAGACTGGTCACAGAAATCCAGCTTTTGGAGCAGCATAATAGACTGAACATGAACATAACAAAGTATGTCTTCAGGCTGCAACAAGAGGAAAACAGTTCCACAAGGGTGCTCTTGGTCCTATGAAGGCTTTTAGCAATAAGCGCTGAGAAACAGGAGCAATGCTCCTCATCTATATATGCTCCATGTCTTTGTGGAACAGGAAAAAATCAGACTTTTCTGAATTACATTCAGAGCAGCAGTCATACCATAATTTATTTTAAAAAATTAATTAAAAAAAAAAACAGGCTGTGCAAGGCAAACCAGAAGCATCCAAGCTCAGCTCTGCAGCAGAGTCACTTGTTTAAACACCTTGCTGTCATGGATACAGGGCACCCTTACCTGCAAGAGCTATTGCCTTCATTTCTGACGGCTCACTTGGGTTGCGCTGCAGCTTCCGTTTGGAGAGAGAAGATGATTTTCCCAGGTTAAAGAAGGAACGCCAGCTGCCCACAGGAGATTTTTTCATCTTACTGGGAGGCCTCTTTCTACAGCAAGAAAGAAACGGCATTGAGAAACCGACTGAATGCTCCATGGTGGCCCCAAAAGAACATTAGCAATTTACATGGGAAAGCTATCAGTGCGCCTCCTTTATATAGGCAAGCAGCATTGATCGGCATATACTGAGAAAGAATGAAGAATATTTCAATTTCAAAGGTGTTCAACTTAAGCATGGAAAAACTGAGTGTAGGACAATACAATCATTCACACACGCACGCGTGCTTAAGAAAAATCCTTCTACCTTTCAGATGGAAAGTCTATGATGGTATGGAACTTTCCCTGCAAAGCAGCAGGTCCTTCTCCTACTTCGATGTACTTGCTGTCTGCCACGGCTGGAGAATTTATCTGAGCCTGAGTCCTTGCCTGGGCCTCCTCTAAGGTAAGCAGCTTTGTGGAGGGGGAGGACACCAGCAAAGATTTAGGCCGTGACAAGGAACTGTGACCTACCACAGAAACACAAGGCAAAACAGAGAGAAAATGATGAGAGGTACGAGCGTGTGAAGGATTTTCCTGGAATAGAGACATCACAGCCCAACATTTCCTTTATTACACTACTTAAGAAGGGAATCTTCTACAATACATTATGTTTTTACCAAGAAGCTCTGGTAGGGAAAAAAATAAAGTTTGGGTTTATATAATGATAGACATTCCATCAAATTATTTTTCCTGCCCTTTAGTGCACAATAGGACTTGGGGCTGGATTTTGGTTCATAGCTTTCTTCTTTACTTGTATAATTTTACCTCTATAAATATTTTAAAGGGCGTCCCAGACAACGGCCTTAGCAAGCTATTTAATTAGTATAAAATGTGTTGCAACATGCTAACCCCCCCCCCGAAAAAAGTAGGTGAGTTTTACCTCCAATTTAAATTCAAGAGAGTACATGAATTATATGGTTTAAGACGGTGTGTTGCTTTTAATGCTTAAACATGCAGATTACCTTCTAGCAGAGATGCTGCTTGGGTCTGGATGATGGAAAATGAGTTCCAGAAGAAAAATATTTTAAAAACTCCCATCAGTTTAAACTCACAGGAGAAATTCTACCTCAGTTAACACTTTTTTTACATTTTGAAGACAGTGACTAGCAAGGTCAAGAGGTAGCATCAAACAATGAAGGGATGCTACTTTGTAATGGCAACTCCACTGATATGTTGCGATCGCGCATCATGCCATTCTAGAAAATGTTTGTTGGGTTTTGGCTTAGCATGTTGTATGAATTCAGCCACTATGGCTTTTAATGACTTAATATGTTGTGCTTAGGTTGTTTTTTTTTAAAGTAATGGTTTAAAAAAAACAGTGAATGAGCAGTATGTAAATTCAGTATTAGTCTGCTCTATAGGAAAGGTAGGCATGGTTTAGCATCAACCGAGGTCCTTAAGTTCCTACCGATGTTCTAAAAGGTTTCTTGAATCTCCTATGAACATAGCAACCACAACTGCATACATTATCTGCAGTCTACTTTACAGTAAGGGAGGAATATTCAGATATATCACTCCAGATCTGATGCAAACTCAGAAATAGCTACAGAATTTCTGAGATGGCTTCACTAGATGTTAGTTTGTCCTGACCAACTTGTCAATCCCTTCCCTCTCCCACCTTACCCTACCCGCAGTGTGTTCTGAATGTTACAAGTTCAGTCCATTTAGTAGTGATCTCTATGGAACATCTTCCCGAGAGATACATGAGTTCTTCCCCTCATTCGTCTTCAAAAAGGCTTTAGATGTAATGTTGCTTTATATTTTGAAATTTTGTGACGAGGGGGGAGAAGAATTAATAGGGCTATACTTTAAGTTTTATCATTTATGCTGCTATGTGCCATCTTAGGAAGACTGTTCAGAAAAGTAGCCTAAGTTATTTAAAATATATAGATCTGCTTCAAAGGATATCAGGTAGAAGGCTGGAAAAGTCCTCTGCTAGAATGCTGACAAGTCAGGAAAATATTGGCTGAGCTCTGAGACTACTGATAATTTCACTGCATTCTTTTCCCCAACTTGAAGAATCCGTATTTTACGAGAATGTACATGATGGGGGAACAAAGGCTTGGTACAAAAACCTTTAATAGCAAAATGCTTTTAGAATGAAAGCTCTACAGTTGGAGAGCTCAGCATGGTACATGATTGTTAACAGAGGGACCATTTCCAATGTCAGACATCTGCTGCAGGACACTTGCTAAGCTTCATTAGCCTCCAATGAATACAAGATGGTTGTCTATTAAGTCGCATTTCTCTACTTAGGCAGCCAAGCAGAAAAATGAAAACTTTGACACTGCTCTGCCTATATTTTTAATGTGTGTTTTAGCTTATTTCTGCCTCAGACATACATACCTGCACTCTCTCGAATAACAGAACTTAGTTTGGAGCTGAAAAGGACATCCACGTGATTGAGAATGAATTCCACAACCACTGATTGGATTCGCACTTCCATAAAAGCTGCTGTTCCACTGAAGCAAGCAGATTCTATCTGCTTTGATCTATGGGAAAGAATGAACATTAGCCATCATTCTAGCCAGCACTACCAGTTAATACTGTTGTACACAGGCAAGTCAGCTGGTAGCAGAATGCCTTCCCTTTTTCACAGAAACAAATATTTGCATAGTGGTTGTGGTGTGAAGTCTACACAAACAGCACTGTAGAGACACAAGCCGATAGATTGTGCATTCTCTCTTCCACAGTATAATGCAGGACAGTTACTACATATAAACTCTTCCTCTGCAAATAAGAAGAAAAGTCTCTATCTCTTCCTTGAAAAAGAGGGATAATAATTCATGTGAGTGGGTCCTACCTGCATGAGCATTTATTATCTGTGCCAGTTCACCCTAACAGGGATAAAGTGGAGTCTATCACTGAGCTAATTCCTGGCAAAGCCACAGGTGTAACATCTGACGTGAGCCAAGCTTCTTTCTAGGTAAAAACAGGTAAACCTTATCATTCTGGTTCTCAGAATGAAGCATTTTTGGAAGCCATGGAGTAAGGATCCAACCTGTCCTGCTCTTCCTCACAAATGAGATCACTACCTATCTGGTGCCAATTTCCACAATGAACGTTTCTCCTTTTTTCTTTAAAAAAAAAAAAAAAGACTGACACAAAGTAAAATATTACAGCCCACCCTCTCTCTCTATAAAAACACTTATATTCACAAAAAGCTTTTTAAAAATGCTCACTACATGGTTTGCTTTGTGTTGGTTCATGACCATAATAACTGATAATTATTGATGATAATCACTGCCTAACCTTGATCACTGTCTTGTGGATAAAACAGGGGGAAAAAATCCTCCTAACCTTTCAGACTGATATAAAAGATACCTTAAATTAGAAGGCGTCTGATAGCATATTTTCTGGCTAACAAATTTTATTAAAAGGCATAAGCTATCATGAGCTACAGCCCACTTCAACAGATGTGATTTAATCTCCTGCAGATTGTTGGCTATCATAGAATAACATGGCTCTCCTCCTACAATGTCTACAATCAACAGATACCTGAGTAAGTTTGGTGCCCAAACAATGGCTAAGTTCTTCGTGTGCATGTTTGTGATGGCACAATATTCAGCCAGGTGAGACAAATGCCTCATAAGGAACTCCAGGGTCCTGGAAAAAAGGCAAGAATTTCAGATAAGTTAGCCTATGATGCTACAGTTTCAAAAGGCAAGTTAAAGGGGATTGGGAAGAATTATCAGCAAAATGAGGTATCCTAAACAGGCTAATATTTCACTTTTTGAAAAATGGCCAGCTCTTTGCTTCCTCATTGCATCGCAAATGCAAAGGAAGACAAAAAAATATGCCGTGTGGACCAGTATACTGCAAGATATCTCTAGCAGTCAAGCCATCAAAGATTGATATAGGCATTGCTAGATTCCATGACTAGTGACTTGTTTTCTAAATGGCAACTGTCATCTTTGATGACCATTAGAGGGAGCCTCTGCAATAGTATCTAGCTAAAGAGTTGTACATTCTCCCTGGGCAGAAAAAGAGAAAGAACGTCTAATTCAGAGGGTGAAAGCAGCATCAAGAGATTGCATAACTGAACAATAAAAATATAATAGATCTTTGTTAGTAGATTTTGCACACAGGACAGGTATATGGTTCCTTTCAAATAATTCTAGAAGCTAATGATATTTTGCATATCAGTATCTAAGATACTTTAGAACAAAGCAGAGTTAATTTTCCCTGGATTCTGCTCCCTGATTTAGGATTACATCCAATAACTGAGGCTGCATTGGATACCCATGAGTTCCAATGGATCCTTTACAAGTGAATATTTAATATATAACACAATGTAGATTTTTGTTCAATAGTAATAATACGTGGCTAAGATGAAAAACAGAATGATGGTATTTAATGGAGAGGAATTCTGAAATGTATTGTAAAGCAATATTGCTGAGATGTTAAATATAAATAACAGAAAAATAAAGGGAGGGCCATTGTGAAGTAGGGTGCTGGACTAGGAACAGCGAGTTCCAGATTCTAGTCCTCCCTTAAGCACAGAAATCAGCTGGGTGATCCATGGGCCAGTCACTCCCTCTCAGCCCTAAATAACTTCAGGCTCTGCAACAAGCCAGCTTAAAAAACCAAATCTTTTGCTATAAGAACAAGGTGAGTGTGGTGTCAGATCTGCAACTAAGTAGAACAAACCCAAAGAAGAAAAACAAATAACAACAACAACAATAAATAAATAAATAAATAAATAAATAAATAAATAAATAATAAAAAAAAAATAATGGGACTTTAGTGTCTGTTGATGAACAATAAGACGCTTTCCTGAGTGTGGAGACATAAACACATTCATTTATAATAATGGGACTTTAGTGTCTGTTGATGAACAATAAGACGCTTTCCTGAGTGTGGAGACATAAACACATTCATTTATTACAATATAGCTGGGTAATCCTACTTTTAACAGGATGGACACCCAACCTTTCAGCCCCCTATACTGATAACTCAAATGCTCAAATAATCCTGAGCCTAAGCCATTAAGGTCATGCTTAAGAAAGAACACAGCCACTCCAGATTACTGTTTATTCCAAAAGGTGATGGGTATGTTGGTGATGTGGCAAGGAAAAGAACAATTTCCAGGCCTCCTAATTCTACAAAGTTATAAGAAGCAAAGCAGCTAGTACGGGAGCATGAAATCAGATATATCAACCCTCAGTGTTCTACATGGCCTTCAACATGCCAAAAATTAGCAAGAAATCTTACAAACTTTAGTAAGATCTAATTTTTTCCATCCAAAAGTAGGTTTCATATTCAATTTCTATGACATGCTGAGTTAGACGTCTGATCAAAGGACCAACTTCTCAAGTTTTCTATAACCACACCATGCCCTTCCCTGATTCTGGATACCCACATATGCAGCAAGCAGCAAAACGCTCCAAGCCGGCTAAAAGAAAACCTCTAAATGTTTTCCAGATCTCTAAACCACTTGTCTGACTCACTCCTGCCAGCATTCCCATCTTATCCTTACTGCGGATAGTGCTGAAGTGAGCTGTCCTACTTCTCTGCTGACTATTAAGTACATCTGCAATCCCTGCTAGGACGAACAGATTTATACTCGTCTTTCAATTTGGTGAAGTTTTTAATTTAGAATTCTGCCTGAAGGGCAAGGTAAGAGCCCTATATTTCTTAAAATTTGTTCCCCTTTCACACCCTGGAGTTTTATATTTCTGCAAGGCATGCTGAGCTTTGAACGATGTCTCCACCCCCCACTTCATAGAGTATAAGCACAGATGACACAGATGTGTTATTTGTCTTGTTACTGAGCTAAATAAAGTAGAAGTCAACCTTGTGTCATCATAAATCCTTCAGTGTATGCACTCAGATGCTTAATTTCACATAGGCAAGAAGAAAGGATCCTCAGTAAACCAAACTGAACTGCAAGGTTCCTCTCTTAGAGACTTCATGTAAAATACAGCCTTCTGAGTTGTTTTTTTTTAAAACTTCCTAGTCTAATGCAGAACCTTCACATTCCCTAGCCATTTCTCATCCAAATACTAACCAGGGAAAGTCTGCAGGGGAAATAGGACACAGACTTCCACAAAGTCGCCCAGGATTTTTTTTTTTTTAATAACATAATCATAAGGCTGTGTAAACACAGTCAAAATAATTGTGCAATAACCGTGTATGCAGACCTGTAGTGTGGTGGTGGCAACTGCTGGATGACATCATGGATTTTTACCAGTCGTTCTTCATCAGTAGCAGCAGATACAGCATCCTGGAAAGGAAGGGAAAAACCACAAGCCTGCCTCAGCACAGTGCATATGTTTCTTTTTCCTAAAGCCTTACAGATGAATACGATCAAAATCACAATGCAGAGTAAGAACAAACACCTAGACTGTCCTAGATCATAGGATGTTATGTATTACTTTGCTATTCCAGACCAATTCCAATATGCACCAGCGTATAGGGGATTTTCTCATATTTCTCCCTGGCAAAATAGCTGTGAGATGCCTTGGAGAGTTATTCACTTGTTCAGATTTCTTGAACTTGAATTCAGGTCTCTTAAATCCACACTGGCGTTGTTAACGAAACTTTTGCTCAGAAGTGGAAGCAATTCACTGATCTCACTGCAACTCTAAATAGGCTTAAAGCTTCTTTTCCCCAGAGAAATGCCATCCAAAACATCATATTCCATAATATACTGGAAGAAGAATGAATGGTTTTCTCATATAAATATACAGCAATGATATAGAGGGAATGTGCCGGTTCTTTAAGAATGATTTTGTTTCTCCAAATTATCCATGGAAAACTCTTAAGAAATCACTGAAATGCAATTCACAATGTCCATGCAGTAAGAAAAAAATTCTGTCTTGCTCTTACTGAAAACTTCTCATAGAGCTGATAGGTGAGCAGAGGATTGGGCAGCTCTCGAAAATAGAGCTTGCAGAGTGAACCCACACAGTGTATATCCTGAATATATACATCTTTTGTCAAGTCGGGGATTTGTTCGGAGTCAAATTCGTGTCTGGAGATAAGGAAAGACAGAAGGGGACGAGGGAAAAAAGAGAATATATACAATCAGAAGACCACATGGTTTCCCTTGAAGAAAGATGTAAAAACAATTTAAAACGCATGCCAAATTTGTGTAAATTTATATATTTTTCTAGAAGCTTTCTGAAAAGCAGCTCCAATCATCTTACAGCCAATTAAGTTACTCAGAAAAAAAAATACTAGCTGTAAAGTGGATGAGTCAATTACATACAGTAAATAATTACAAGATGTGTAGTCCATGTCACATAGTCACATTAAGTATTAAATGACAGGTTCCTATTTAGACAAATTACCCATCTGTCAAACCTCAACGCTAAAGATGACTGAGATGAATGAAATAAGGTCAACGAAAGCCACCCACAGCCCATACCAGCCAAAGAAACAAGCATCTTATGAAGATTTTTTGATTTGGTTATCATCCAAACTAACCCCCCCCCCCGCCACAAAACTATAATTATAAAACAATGTACAACCACTGTTTTTGAAACTTCCTTCTACATTACTGGCTCTCCTGCTGAATATTCTAAAGTCAGATAGTAGCTCCAGAGCAACACAACTGCTTTCTGTCTTTACTGATTATGTACTTTTGGTTTTTCAGACAAGAAAAGAATCTTAAAATCCAAAATGCAGCTATGGAGCAAAGGAGAAATCGGTTCTGTCTGCTCTTTAGAAAAAGGAATCTAACAGAGAATGAAATTCAGAAATAACGCACACAATCTTACCGTAACTTTTGGATATTGGATGCAATCCCAGAAAGACGGTATATTCCATCCACAATACCATGTTTTTCAATGAATTCAGTGCAACTCTTGAGGACCTGGGGAACTTAAAGGGAAAAGCAAAAAGTGTTAGTGGACCATCAGATGTTCTCATCAGTATCCTGGCAGATTTGTCCATGCAAGATTCACAGGCTCCCAAAAGACTTCTGCCCAGATAACAGATTTCTTAAAACTTTTGTTTATCTTGTTTCCTTTTACATCCAAATTGACACCAATACATTTCTAAATGTCACTTCACATAACTAGGTACCATTGGGATTTGTGTCCAAAGTGTAGCTATTACCTTTAGTTATCAGTGCCATTACATGGCAGGGACAGACTCCTAGCCCTTATTAAATCTATTCCTCTCTGTAACTCTTGAATTTCTGGCAACATTCTACAGTCTACCCAACAACCGTTTCTTCAGAGTTCATAAAAATTCAGAGACTACACACACACACACACACACACACAGACATAAAGTTATGCAGTAAGCCATAAAGTAGTTTGCTTTTAGCTTCATAGATTGTACAGATCCAGATACTGAAAACTGAAAACTTTAGATTGTGGTGCATACCTAACCAACTGTGGTTTATCAAGAGGCTATGATTAAACAAACTTAAGCTTAGATGTGATACCTGAACCTAATCTTTCTACTATTTGATCTACAGCATTAAGCAGATGGAATATTTTGACTAGGATAATGGCTAATTGATGATTATTCATCTATTGTCACTCAGCATGTTTCTTTCTTTTCAGGGATAAATATAAACAGGCAGAATGGAGGATTGTCCCTGACTCCTACACTGCATTTGGGAGGCATACTGATAGTCAAGGACAATATTACACATCCCATGGAGAACTGAGCCTCCTGGTGACTACAATGTTTTGCTTAATTCGAGAAGGCAGCTAAATATTGCTCAAGTTCCGCTCCTGGATTTGCTGTTTCTTGACTGGCTGAAGCTAGAAGATCCCAAGGCCTTTGGTTAAAAATAAGAAAATCAGCTTAGGCTGTTGGCCTTTAGTCCATTCACTCTTGACCTAGACAATTTCAGATTATCAAAACCAGACAACAAATTACTCTTAAGTTAATTATTAGAGTTTCTATACATGTAAGGATCTGCATTTGAGCATATTAATAAGGGAACAGAGAGAAGGTAAGCCACAGCTACAATTTCCAGAAGGTAACATCATAAGAAGTTAATCTGTAACTGAAAAAGCAGGAACACAGATTAGGATCAACTGAAAAGCAGGCAGCATTAGCACATATTAACATTCAGACTAGCATACCAACCAGTCCCACAGCAAACCATTCAAAACAACCAATCTACATACTTTTACCCCCCAAAGGAATAAAACAGATTTAATGGCCAACATCAGCACTTTCAGCTGGTGTTTGCTGTTGGTTAAAAAAAAAACAGTACACACATTTAACCCCTGACTGGTATCATTACTAAATAAGTTTGTCAGATGCTTATGAGTGTTTAAAATATATTTTTATGTAAGCTGCCAACTCTCATAAATTGGTAACTGAGAAGAGATACTAAATAGTTCTTAAAGCAAATCCATACATAGCAGGTAGCATTGTCTCAGCTTTCCCAGACTTTTAGGCTCTTACTGAGTTGGAACATTAACAAAAAATTATTAAAAGGGATGTTCAAGAAAAAAGTGTAAACGGAAACCCCAGACAGGCAGAGATAAGTGTTGGGTTATCTAACGGGAGACAGGTTGGTGGACACAACAGGTCTTTGGCCTAATCCAGGAAGGCTTCTCTTGCGATCTTAACTAGTTCACAAAAATCATTGCTTGACTTTTTATAAGTTTGCTTCTCTTTCACTTCAACTTGTGGCAATTACCTTTTTAAATTATGAATTCCAGAAACAATGGTTTGTTACTGTTATTTGTCATGAATTTACTGTACTTTATTTATTTTTTTAAATCAGAGTCTGTGCCCTAGCATTTTTGAGAAAATAGTTGCTCTGCTCACTAGCAGCCCATGTTAGGTATTAGGAACTGCTAAAATGAGAAGATATGAAAAGGGCTACCAAAATCATAAAAATATATAACTTTTAAAAAATCAAAACAATAAGCCCTGCTATCCATCCATTCATCCATTTATTTCCCTCCCTCCTTATTTACTAAGTCTTGAATTCAAGAACCTCAACTTTTCTACCCCAATTCCTAGTGAAACCTTCCCTTAAATATTTGTCTCAAATAAGGCATAGCATAGATTTCAAAACCAAGAAGAAAATCCAAAAACCATAAGCACATCTGTATTTGCAAATGGTTTAATCCATTACTGAATATTTTAAAATAAAAGAGTAAGTTGAAGCTATAAAGATGACTGATGTATGTATTAAGATCTCATTTTTAAAGAGACTGTATGAACACATAAAGCGTTTGGCATTGTCTTCTCTTATTCAGTTAACCCCATTCTCCTCTAGGAAGAAGTTGGGCCCTGCACAAAAATAGCCAGAGCTTCCCAGTGGTCCCCACTATCACCACTGCCACCTCTCTGAATTGCCTTATTGAAGCACTGGGTCACGGAGAGCAAGCTCAGCATGTTTCCTCCACATTGGTCTCCTGGAGCGTTCTAGCCTTATAAACAAACAGCACCAGAGAGAGCCATATTTGTCATCATTAAATTTCAGGGGCACCTCACTGTAACATTTAACATCAAGGTAAAAGAGAAAACAATCCCCTCAAAGTAGGGGGCAGGAGAGAGGTAACGGTTGTTCTAATATGGTGTATAGGTCATTTGGCATTTTTTTAAAAGGGGGGGGGGACTAAGCTGGCAATGCATTTAATAGTTCTATTTGTCCTCCAGATACCACTGATGTACAATACGTTAATTCTCTCGTCTCCCTGTCAAAATGGATAAGGGGACCTATTTTCACCATACAACTATGCCAGAGAATGGCTAATTCAAAAACCTTTCATCATATGAGGATACAATTAAAATCTTTCACATGAATTAACATCATATCCACCACTGCTTATATTTAAGAAATCTACAGTATAAATGTATCTGCTTACATTTGATTAAACAAATGTACTTATTTCCTGATCACTGATAATTAGTTGGGCACCAGGTGTTGAGCTCAACTCAGGAAACCTTTACCTTAATGGTTCTTTCTATGTATCTGTGGGTGATGGATGTAGGTAATTGTCAGTTTGAGACCACAGTGTTCTTGGTTTCTCATGTTACATTCAGATCCAATACTAGACTGACAGATTGGACTCCATATATTATGAAGAGGGAAGTTGATACTCATGTGAATAGTATACTCGGGATACTACTTTTATGGCTTCTTCTCTTAAACTGGATATGTTGCTCTTCAAACAAAACACCTGATAAAAAAGACTTCTTCATTTTCTAATGCAGTAATGACCCATTCCCCACCCCCCAATCCAAATGCCTTTCAGAATATCCTCACACCTATGCATAAAACTTCTTTTGGAACAAACTCCCTTCACTCAAATATCTGAAGTTGCTCTTTGAACCAACACAACTATGACCTAGTAAATTTGATCTTGATATAAGGCATGTTTCCAAACCACTATGCTTCCTTGTGTATCACTGAGGATTATATAATCATCCTTCAATAATATTTCAAGGATAGCTTTCAAACATTAAAAGCACAATATTCATGAATTAGAAATCTTATCTCACAAATATAATTATTGCTGTTTTTTTATGAAGCAAACATGAAAAGTTTCCACTTTATTAAAAAGTCATGAATACAGTGCTCAAGTTTTAAAATCATAAAAAAAGGTCAGGGGAAAAAACAAGAGAGAGAGAGATGTTACATTTGTTGTAAAAACTGCACTATATGCTCCTTTTGTACTACATGTGGATCTGTCAAGCCCAGAACAAGTTCTGCCAGATGTCACCACCTATCATGGGACTACTCAGAAAACTAGCTACTGAGGGGACATTTCCTAATTAGATGAAATGGAATATTATGCTGATGGCATAAGACCTAGTGCTCCCCTGATATACTGGGACCTAGGATGTAGGAGGTGATTTTGACTTTTCTGAATTTCTGATAGTGCTAAAACATCTTAGTTATTTATACATGAAATTGCAATTAACAATGCTTAATCAAACGAGAAGCTATTTTCAGCCCTTCAGTTTCTAGGCAACCTGCCATCCATGTATCCTAGATACTTCCTGATCTGCAGAAACCTCAGTATATTTAACCAGTATGAGGCTGCAGGATGCTGAGCACTACAAACATCTTCTGTTGAGAGATAAAGCAGGCAGTTTGTGTTTCCTCTTCTCAATGCCAAAATGACGACTCTACATTCTAGAAATAGAAGTGCATATTCAACTGTAAAGACTTAAGGAGGAAATCTTATAAAATCCTGCCATTTCTGGTGGAATTAATACAACATTTCAGGTGATTTCAGGATTTTCCTTCATTTCAGGATTTAAGTCTGAACTGGGTCCTGATACTTGGATGCAATCAGCTAGTTTTAACCTGGGACACGGCTGTGGTTCCCATGGAGGACATGAAATCTGAGCCATGCTAGATTCATTTCTAAGGCTTGGAGGTTGAAGCCCCCCAACTTTATCAAATTAGAGCAGTCCACCTACTGTCCACCATAAGATTCATGAGTTCAGGAAGGAACATAAAGGCACTCAAACCCAGGTACTAAAGAACTGGCACAACTGGTCAACACCAAAATGTCATGTACAATCATCCCCATCCTTTCTTCCTTACTTGGTATTCTGGCTGCTGATGGACCCAAAACTCATGTGGGCAGATCTAGGGCAAGGCTACATCCTCATCACTGCCTAACCAGGTTTCTCAAATATATACTGCAGGTAGTCCTTGCTTAATGATCATTTGTTTAGTGGCTGTTCAAAGTTATGGCAGTGCTGAATGAATGGTAGTAACAACCAGTCTTCAAAATTACAGCTGTCGCAGCAGCCCTGCGGTCACTTCACGTTGCAGTGCCCTCTAGCTGATCTTTGCTGTCTTCTTCCTCCCACTGGTGATGTTGCCTGAGGCCTCATGAAGGGCCAGCAGCTGCCTCAGCTTGGGCACACCTTGTCAGCAG